AAGTTCAGTATACTGAAACTCCATACTGAAAAGTACGTACTGCCGACTGAACTGTGGCTATTCGGAAAGGGCCCTCGGCAGGTGAGCAGCCACCCCTTTAAGCTTGTTAGGTTAATTTGACTGACAAACAGAGAGAGATTTACATCCTGTGGGGACTGATTTACATCCTAATCTAACTGCCATGTTTCACTACAGGAATGTAAGCACAAAACATTTACTCAGGCAGAGTGTAAGTGTACATTTGAAGTACACTCACACTCGGCTCAGTTGCATTCTGTGTTCTGTGCCTGCACTCACAATGCCTCCGGCAAAACCGGACCTGAGCACGGTAACCTCTCGTATGATGCATGCATGGCTTTACGTGATCATGAAGAGTCTTTTTGTTTACAAGGAGCGCACTCTCAGAGTCAGCACAATGGAGAACAACACAGAGAACATGACAGCAACATTTTACTGACTTTAGGGCTTATTTTGTCAGATACAGCCAGAACATTCCTGAACTTCTCGACTATGCAAGGCAGCCGTCGATTTTACATCATGTCCATGTTGTGGTCCTGTGCTTGTGCTCGTGCATGAGCAACCATACCGTGCCAAATTCTTCCAGCCGTGCCAGGGCAGAGAGAGAGAGAGAAGAGAGAGAGAGAGAGAGAGAGAGAGAGAGAGAGAGAGAGAGAGAGAGAGAAGAGAGAGAGAGAGAGAGAGAGAGAGAGAGAGAAGAAGAGAGAGAGAGAGAGAGAGAGAGAGAGAGAGAGAGAGAGAGAGAGAGAGAGAGAGAGAGAGAGAGAGAGAGAGAGAGAGAGAGAGAGAGAGAGAGAGAGAGAGAGAGAGAGAGAGAGAGAGAGAGAGAGAGAGAGAGAGAGAGAGAGTCAGTGCAGGTGAATGAGGTCAGAAAGTCAAGAGTCAAAAACACAAACGACTACAACACACGGAGAGATCAAACAAAGAGCTGAGTTATGGTTAGGGGTGGGAATCACCAGAGGCCCAATGATACAATATTATCACGATACCTGAGTCACGATACGATATCATTGTGGTTTTAATCATTTTGGGATAAACAGAGAATTGACATACAATATATTGTGATTTTACTTTTTAACTGTTAATTATTTCCACAAAATTAAACTAAATCAAAAGCTGACATTCTCAGTCTGTTCATGTCGCTTCTGTCTTGAAGCTTTCTGTCATGTCTTTTTATTGCTACACAATGTGAGTCAAGCTCACGGACTGAATCTACTGGATCAACTCCAGAACTCTGTGTACCTCAATGTCATCAAACCCTCAGATATGTAAAATAAAGAAAAGACAAAACTTAGGGAGAGAAAACAGCATTTCATCATTTTTTTATGGGTGACAACATTTTACGCTTTAGATTTTTATAGGAAATCAATTAAAAATCAGCTTTAGTTTTCTGATATCAGGAAGTAAACAAGAAGAAAGAATACATTTCAAACAGAGCAAATATTAGCTTGTTTCATCCACATGCTGCTTTGACTCAAAAAAAATCACCTCAGTGCACCTGTTGAGTCTCAAAGTCCAGAGGTATGGATCATTAAATCAGGCAAAGCATGATGGGAGACATAAGGGCACTCAGGGTAAACGAGTACGTTTTCTGTAAATGGAGCTCATAAATAATTAACTACCACGTGAACTTGAACCAGGAGGACTTTGAGTACTATAAGCATGCTTTGTGTTATTTTCTTTATGTTCACAGCTAACATGTGTTTTCTCTCTCTCTTTCTCCGTCAGATGCCTGCCTGTATCAGTGTGAGAGCATGGAGGAGGGAGAGGACGGAGAGCTCGGCCCCGGGCTGAAATACGAACCGTCGGTACGGAGACAAAAAGAGAGTCCCAGCTCACAGCTCCGGTTTCTGATCAGAGACTGAGAGTGAAACTGATGCTCGTCCTTGTATGCAAACATTCGTCACACACTGCACAGTTTGGTTAAAGCTCGAGCTCGTCTCTGAAAACGTTTGACTTTCAGTTAAGGTGCAGTTTAGCTGCAGATGAGGGCATCTGAGTGAGATGAACTTGAGTCCTTGTAATGTTGTTTTGTTTGCTTATAGCTGCTTAAAGTGTTGTCAGCCATGCTGGTGGTGCAGATTTAGATCACAAGTTTTTCTGAAAAGGTGAAGCTGTTCCAAAATCAAGGAGAGGTATGGCTGCATAGTTTCGCTGCAGGTTGGAGAAGTTTTGACAGCATCTTGAGATAAAGAACAAAGTTAGAGGCGAGTTGTAAAGAGGAAGTGTTTACTCTTCTGAATCTGTAACTGTGTGTCCAGACAGAACACTAAGAAGATACTCATGTCCGGTTAACTCAGAGTTTAAACACAGGATCGTTTGTTTGTGTTTGTGACTGCAGGATAATCCAATCCCCTCTTCCCTGATGGCTGCTCAGAACCGAGTATCTGCCCAGATTATTTTGTAATGTGAGTGGTATAAAGATCCAGTCTTGACCTCTCCAATCTGCTTACATCATCAAAGGGTCTGACAGAAGTCGCACGTGACTACAATAACCTCGAGAGCGAAAGAACTGTAGTCATAGTAACCTGCGGCAAGATGCATACGGATGTTCTAGACACCTGTAATGCATCTGACAGTTACAATCTGACATCCAGCTCTCGCTGAAGATCAGACAAACCGCGCTGTCCTCGTCTCCCCAGATATTTATTCTCACTGCACAAATAAACCGCCTGCTCCGTTGTTCACTTGAGGTCACATGAGGTGGTGTGTTCCTCCGCTGGGCACGATGACCTTAATAAAATCCTGTAGTCTGTGATGTGCAATGATTTTCATATCTGGTTGTGTGAGCATGTTTGCGTTTAGAGAAGAAGATGTGTTCAGATTGTCCTGATGTGTGGGACAAGGGGGGACAATCATGCTTAAGCACGGTCAACTGGGCCGAGTGTGAGTGCGCCTTTAAACTCTTTGTTTGTTAAATGGAGGTTGGGTCCATTATTATTTTTGATGAATCCCAGGAAGTCCGCGACTTCAAACCCCTGATTGGCTTGTTAGCAAGTTTGTCATTAGAGTCGAACATTTGAAACTGCATGTTTTCACGACTGACACAGATGTTGAACTTTCCTGTTTTTGCTGATCATGTCATTCACAGTGTGTCTCTCAGGTTCACGTCCCACGCCGCACTACTTGTTTTCATGCTGACTTTCTGTGTAATTTCTGCACCTTTTTTCACGTGGAGAAAGGGCTGAAATAAATGCAAATCTTTCTGGTTGTTTAGCTCGGTCACAGAGGTAAAACGAGTCCTGCTCCTTTAAGTTTGTTCTTAAACAAAACGAGCCTCAGACTCACGTGTTTAGTCGACAGCAGCATCAATCAGATCTGTAACGCTGCAGTGAGCGAGCACAGAGGATGGGTCAAAGCATAATCAGACTAATTATAACACACGCACACACACCCTTTCGGCCTAATTTTCCACCTGACTTGCTCTCTCTCTTTTTTCCCCCTTCTCTCACAGTTTGACAGCAACCTCGTTCTCACCCTTGATCCTGATAACCCCACGTCGCCATGGCAACACCTGGACGACAACCTCCTCACAGGTACAGAGCAGCCGACCGTGGTCACTTCAGTTTATTCGGCAACTTAACACCGCCTCAGGTCAGCGGGTTTTTTTTTTTTACAAGGCTGGAAAAAGTCTGAAACACGAGACGCTTCACACCTCACAGCGTTTGTTCCTGACTGAAATCTAAAGTCTCGGGTTTTAATCTTCGTTTGTGGACTGAGAATGAGATGAAAAACAAGTTGACCAGTACTGGCAGAGAAAGAAAGAGATTTGCCTGAAACGCTTCGTTTCAGCTACTATCTCTTTAAGGCCCTCCTCTCATGTGCACACTCTCTTCTGATTGGCCAGCTCTCTGGAAGCCTTGAACAGGTGCAGAATGCTGCAGGGCTGCCAGGGGAGGGCTGCTCTCCAGAGCTGGGAGAAGAGAGTCTATGTAAGAAGTTTCAGCGGCTTACGTAGAGGCTTGAAGCTGTCTGGTGAATTTCTTGGTTTCCTATCGGGGAACTATGGCGTGATTTACAGAACAAGCCGTTTAGCGCCCTCTGCAGACTGGAATTACTCCAACATACGTTTATCTCATGACCTGAAACTTTTCCCACGTTTAGTTTGGGCCTCCAGCATCGTAACACTATATGAGAGTTTTAAAATGGGGTCAGAAGTATAGGTCGACTTTAAAGTCTTTCAAAGCACATTGAAAATGCCTCGATTAGCTCTTTAATGTCTCACATTAAAACTCCAGCAAACTTCATGTCTTTGTCATATTACAGTTTATATGGACTGTAATATGGGGCGGATGTGGCTCAGTTGGTAGAGTCGTCGCCTCTCGACTGAAAGGTTAAGGGTTTGACCCAGCTGAGCAACATGTCTGATGTGTCCTTGGGCAAGACACTTAATCCTGCATTGCTCCTGCAATACTGTGGCAGTGTATGAATGGTGATGTACGTCGCTTTGGATAAAAGCGTCTGCTAAGTGAATTGTAACATTGTAACTGTAAAATATCTTTGTGTTGTGTGTTTATCTCCTGAAGTTGAAACTCCTGTGATCAAAAGTGAAATGACCATCACTCAGCCGTTACCGGTGGAGATGTGTAAGTTCTTCAGTTACTTATTAAGTCTTAACTTGTTTACATTTTCTTTAATACTTAGCAGTTCTCAGTCGACATCTGTCCTGGTGTATTAACTAACGGTCTCTTTGTGTATCCAGTGTTCCAGGTGAAGTCAGAGCCTCTCTCTCCTGCGTCATCTCTTGGGTCTGACTGCTCGGCATCGTCACCAGACCCGCAGGTGTGTGTTCAAATCTGACATTCCTAGAGTTTTTTTTCGTTCTTGCTCTCATTTTACATTGTACACCAAGAAGAAAAATGAAGGTTAGTAGAGTCGTCGCCTCTCAACCGGAAGATCGAGGGTTGGATCCCCAGCTGAGCAACATGTCCGATGTATCCTTGGGCAAGACACTTAACCCCGCGTTGCTCCCGCTGCTTCGGTGGCAGTGTATGAATGGATTAGTGTTGTACTTACTCACTGATGTACGTTGCTTTGGATAAAAGTGACGCTAAGTGTATTGTAGAATTGTAGAAGTGATGATTGTTGTATAATCTCACTGACTGTTTATCTGTCTGGGTCATCTCTCCCGTTCAGATCACAGTGAAGGGTGAAAACCCTCCGACTCCTCCCTACATGTACGGAGACGTGCTCTCTCCTCCTCTCGGGTCCATGGAGATCACCGTGGCAACATCAGCTGTACCCCCCAAGCAGACGCAGCTACAGACGCCGTTAATAACACAGATCCCGGCGGTGATCAGCGGGATTCAGACGCAGGCAGCAGGTGAGCTCAACCTCTGATGGAGGGAAAACAACCGAGATTACAGGATGGTTTGTATCCAAGTTTGGAAAGCTGATGTTTTATTAAATGCACCTTAAAACACTCCACACTTAAATTGAGCCTGTTAGGTGACATATTTTAGGGTTTAAATGTCTAATACTTACAAAACATTGACCCCTAAAACATGAATAAATAAAGCTCAGCTCTAAAGTGTGTTCTTTGTCTCTCCGCCCGAGTTAAAAGAACCTCCTGTGCCTCTGGGTTTTCTGAAGTCAGATCGATGATTAGAGATTTTAACCGACTCGTCACTGCAGAGCCTGAAGGGAAAGCTTTCAGTTTACCACCTCGAGAGTCTCACATAGGGAGGTGTTATTCTGTACAGAGACCCTGAGGCACACCCAGAATGTAGTGCAGGAATGAGGGGGGGAGTCCTGTTTTATTGTACTGTAGGAGTTCAAGAAGAGAAGCTCAGTCAGCTCCAAGTTGTGCAGGACCTCAGGCCTGTGTCTGTATTAATAAATAACATCATTCACAGATGTCTTCTTGACTTTAAAAGTCTACAGCAGCGCTGTGACAAAATGTCACTTACCCCTTTGTATTCTTTCGTGTTATGTCTTACGCTAATCATAGCAGTGTGATATTTGTGTCCCTGCGTTTGATTTCACATAGTGTTGATGCATGTTGGAAACAGGAAGTTCATGATGTGTAAACAAACAACAGGAGCTTCACATTCAGACACTCAGACATGCACGAACACAGCGCTGTTCCACTCTGCCATCGCCACCGTCTCCCATAATTTACGCCTCTTAAAAAGGCTCTAGATAAAAGAGAGGTCAGGCAGTACACAGTGTTGTCTCTGTGTTGGAAACACTTTCATTGTTTTCTCGGAGTTACGATGAAGTAGAAACAAACTCCTTCCTCGTAGTGCAGAACAGATAATAGACGGTTATCTTCACAACTCTTTTACTCTAAATGTTCAAGTTACCTGAGTGTGTTTGTGATGCAGAGATCGCCGCCTGCAGACTTCTGTTTGAGTTCTGAATCACTGCATCATGAATTGATGAATGAATTGCAATCAGTAAATATAAAGAATTAGCAGTTTCTCTATTTGTCTGCTGTTGGGTTTGCAACACGTCCCTTAATAATCTGAAATACCTTTTTTTTTTCTCCACTAAATTTGCACTTTTTCATCTGTGAATAGATGCTAGTTAGCTTTAGCTTCTTATGCATGAAAATGGTGTGAAAGCACGACCATTATCCTGAAACCTCCATACAACTGTTTAAAGCCCTACTTAATGGTACTGTGGTCTGAGACCTTTTGAAGGAGCTGCTCTGCCAAGCAGCTGAAGTTTCTGATATAAAGATCTAAAAAATAAATGTATGTATAAAACGCATCGAACTCTGCATCCTGTCTGACGTGTCATCTTTGCTTTCTCTCACCTGAAGTTGTTCCTGGTTCCACCATGAAGGCCAACACCATCCTGAGTACCAAACCCCCCATCCAGCCCCGACCAGTGTGTGTCACCACGCTCCCCGTGCCCCCGACCCCCACACCCGCCAAGACCCTCATACTGCAGGGCCTCCCCTCCATTGACCAGAGCAGACCTGGTGAGCATCTGCGTTTTGTGTTTACCTTCACGTGTGTGTGTGTGTGTGTGTGTGTGTGTTTGAATATCTTTTCATTTGTAAATCTTTGCTGTGTTTTGTTCCTGAAGTGGTCACTGTGGTCAGGCTTTGTTTTCTTGTTGGACGGAGGGACCTGATACTCAATCAGAATGAAATGGTGTTTTTAATTGTGAAGTACGTTTACACAAACTAAGAGTGTGACTTGGTTGTTGGTCTGGAACATTTCTGGACATTTCTGGAGTTTTGTGTGAATAGTTGTTTATTTGTCTTGTAATAATCCTCCTCATGTCTCTCCTCCTCCTGCGTCTCCTCCTCCTGCGTCTCCTCCTCCTGCTTCTCCTCCTCCTCCAGTCGTCCTGTCTCAGTCAGTCTGCCTCGGCTCGGCTCCAGCCATCGTCAAAATGGAGCCCGTCTCTCCCAGCATCCCCCAGCACTGCTCCAGCCCCACGGCTCCGCCCACCAGCAAACCCATTGTCCCGGCGACCACAACTTTACCCGGCAACAACTGCAACGACATCGATGTGAGTGGACTGGATGAGATAACTGTATATCTTCCTGTAGTCAAAGTCCAACAGCTGTATCATAACATCATCTGGACTTGTCGGGATGAGATATTTTGAGTGCTAAATCGACCAAAACATTTGTTTAGATTTGAGTTTTGAGTCTTTGCTGTGTAAGTTTAAGAATATTGAACGTTCAGAGGAAGAAGGAAACAAGTTGTTAATAAAAACTGAAAATAGTGCTTAAGCCACATAACAAGATAGAAACGAGGATCAGTCTGTCACTAAAAGGTGACATGATAAACATGTTTGCATCATATCTTACTACTTACTTCAGCTTTTAGAGGAAGATTCCAGAAGTCAGAGAGGTCATCGGTAAAACAAACCTGTTTGTTTGAGAGAAAACGAGTTAGACATGTGATGCTTCATGTTCACAAGCTGCTTCACGTTACGTAAATAAGAGGAGGAAAAGTGCCAAAAAAAGTGAGACTGTGTTTCATGTGAGACCTGTTATAGAACAACACTTAGTTACCTCAGGGCTCACATCACACACCTCTTTAACTTTTTCTATGTATGCTTCTCCTCCTTTCTTTTGTTCATGTTTTCATCCTCCCTCTCATTTTTCCTTTCTTCCTTCTCTTCATCCTTACATGTTCACTCGACCCGCTTCCTTTCATAATCCTCCCTCCATGCCCTCTTCCTCCTCTTCCTCCTCTTCCTCGTGCAGATGAAGGTGCTGAAGCGGCAGCAGCGGATGATAAAGAACCGGGAGTCGGCCTGCCAGTCGAGGAAGAAGAAGAAGGAGTACTTGCAGAACCTGGAGGGCCAGCTGAGGGAGGCGCAGCAGGAGAACGAGCGTCTCCGCAGAGAGAACCAGGCGCTGAGGGAGAGGCTGGCCGGCAAGGAGGTGAGGGACTCTTCATCACCTTCTTTCACACTTCAAAAAGTTTTGAGACAGCTGCAAGACGTTCTTCAAAGTCCACCAGACTCTATGCAAACAAACACATATTCTGCCTCACAGGATAAAAGAGTTGACCCCCGCTGCCACCTCCTTTATTTAGTTAATGTTTGTTTTTAAACTCTAGTGTTTAAAAGAGTAAGTCCTGATCCAACACAACACTCGAGTAACACACAAACACACAAAGGATCCAGGCAGCAGTCCGTGTAAGTGGAGTTTGGTAGCGTTAAGGAGGATGTTTGAACAGCTGTTTCTGGTTTTATTTCCTCATGAACAAAAAGGTGTTTCTCTGTCCGGATCCTCTCTGAGCCTGTCAGGGACAAAAACAACAACTCTTCATCAACATAGTTCATAAGTTGTTTTCGTCTGCAGAGATTACGATGCAGAAACCTTTAAGGGCCGTCTACAGAAGACCTGAGCAGCGTATAAAACAAAAATCGAACTGTTTCCGCTTTCTGCAAGATGCTTTCTGGACCGAATATTTGGTGATGATTGTTTCAAACTGTTAAGGAGTAGACCTCCATCACAGAGATTCATCTGGAAAATGAAGTTCTATAGTCCCCCCCTGTGAATCAGTCAAACACCAAATAGAGCCGTTCTCTCAGCAAATCTACTCCTCTGAGTCCATGCACTAACTCACTCGAGGTATTAGGTCGGATGGGTCGAAAGCTCTAGAGAAATTCAGAGATAGAGATAGTCATTTCTAGATAGATAACTCATAAATGAAGGAGTAAGGAAGAAATGTCACATCCCTCCGAGTCTTTTCAAACCTGTGAAGTTTGTGGCTGATTCGCCTGCAGACACTGACTCTAGCTCACATAGAGGGGGTTTACTGCACGGCTGCAGCTTTTCATTCACTTCAGACTAAACAGGTTGAACAAAAGAGAGAATGTGAGAGAGGGAGATCGGTCGGTTTAACCTGTTCAGCCTGAAGAAAGAAAAGTGCTTTACAGGAGCACGAGAATATTTAGTTTATTTAGCAAACTGTCCCAGAGCTGCAGGAGGATTTACGTGCAGATAAAAAAAAATGTGTCGCTGTTCATGACCTGAAAATATTCTTGTCAATCAGGTTGAAGTCGTAGACGAAGTAAGGAAGTGTGTATTTATATTGTGTATTTTTAGAGTGTTTGTGAACATGCAGCTTAAGTTCTCTTTCTGTGTTTTTCAGGGCAGCGAGTCAGCGAGCAACAAGAGAGCCGTGTGTGTCATGGCCGTCCTGCTCTTCATGACCTTCAGCTTCGGACCCGTCAGGTATCCTGCTCACTTTGTTATGCATCATTCAACAACTGTGTGTTGGAAAATAAAAAAAATCACCGAAGTCAGTTCCTCTATCGAACATTTTAAACTCTTTGACTTGAATATCTGCTGTTCTCCCTCGCCGCAGCATCACGGACAGAAAGCTGACAGGTCTGCAGGACGATGTGGTGTCGTTTACGGGACGACGACTGCTCGAGATCGAACAACGACAACAACGACAGCAGCAGCAGCAGCAGGAAGCAGCTGCTCCACCTCTGAGCAGAGCGGAGGACAGAACAGAGACTGAGGAGGACGGAGGAGACGAAGCTACAGAGACATATCAGTTCAGGTGAGACTCCGATTCCACCAAGTGGTCTAGATCAGGTAAGGCACACCTTTATCTGCGTTTCCACTGTTAAATTTGGGAATGGTCCAACCCTAGAGGCTGGAGCTAGACCCACTGCAGCTGCAGTCCGTTGATTGGTCGAAAGAAATGTCACTTCCTGCGTGACAGTGGTAATAAAGGCCAAACACAAAACCTCCAAGGTGCTGACCTCTGCTGGACGTCCTTTGCCCTTTGTGTACTATGTTGGATTGTTCTTCTTCCTCTTCTTCTTTGTTGAATTTACTGGTGGCCTGCATTTAGCCGTTCAATTAAATATTAATTAAATATCTTCTGATGAAGCCGATGGGTTCTATGATTGGTCTTCTTACGTGTGTGTGTGTGTGTGTATGTGTGTGTGTGTATGTGTGTCTTTAGGAACCTGAGTGATGTGTTCAGTGACATGAAGGATCTGGTTCTGCAGGACATCGATCGTTACTTCAGCTCGTCTGACTGCAGGCAGTTCAACCGCTCCGAGTCTCTGCGGTCAGTCAAAGAAACCTCTCCTCCTCTTATCCTCCTCGTCCTCTATCGTCTCACTCACATTTATGTAAACTATAGGCTTCAACTTGTCCTCTCTAAAGGACAATCTTCCTTCCTTCCTTTCCTCGTCCTATTTGTTTTTTTGGATCCTTTTCTTCCTTCTACCCTTTTTTTTCCTCCCCTGTACCCCATCGTGTCCTTATTTGTTTATTTCTGCTCTCTCCTTCTCCCTTCCTGGCTACTTTTCATCCTTTATTATTTTCCCCATCATTCCTTTTTTGCATTTCTTCCCTCCTTACTCCTCATTGGCCCTTCTTTCAATCCTTCCTTCCTTCATCTTTTTTTAACAATCCTGCCTCTCCCTTTTTCATCCCTTTCATCCTTTTCTTATCGTCACTCTTTTTCTATTTCTGTGTAATAGGACTAACATTAATGTGTAATTTGTCTCAGACAGCGATGGAATCTGAGTTTCATTCTTCTGTTCTGTTCTCCTCTTCAGGCTGGCTGACGAGCTGAGAGGTTGGGTTCATCGACATCAGATCGACAGGAAGAAGTCTGGAGGGAAACCCAAAACCGCAAAGAAGGCCAAAATTGCTCAGGTGTGCATTTAAAGCAGATGTTATCCTTTTTTTTAACACACACACACACACAATCATCTGCCTGTCCAACAGGAAGCAGACCACGTCCATGGGTAAAAGCCAACACAAGGTTCACCCTGGTTTTAGAACGAGCTTTATCCGCTTGGTGTTTCTTTCGTATAAGTCTGTATTTTATTTTGTAGGAACATGAGACTGACTCTAAATATGTTATTGTACTTGCACCTAAAGTTCTGACATGATCAAATGAATGCAGCTGCTCATAAATAAAGTCTGATCTCTTCAGTCCGTCATGTTTGGATCTCTCTGGTTTCTCGTTTGCAGAAAGCTCAGCTGAGGAAGACAAACTTCTCCAGATATCTGCCGATCCAGACTCATCGCTCCATAGAAAGGTTCAGACTTTGAAATACATGTGTTGTTGCTGTTGTTGTTTTCAAAGCTTCATCACGATCTCTAACTCGTCCCTGTTTGTGTCTGCAGTCAGCTGCAGGTGCTTCCTGGTCCTGAGGTCACCTACAGCGACTTCCTGGACGCCATCGACCGCCGCGAGGACACGTTCTACGTCGTCTCGTTCAGACGGGTACGACAAGACTCAAGCAGGACACACAATCCAACACAAACGAGAGCCTCCTTTCATTTCTGAGAATTTTCTTAAATCTAGGTCAACAAGAGGCTGTAGCTGTCTGTTTGAATCTAAATAACGACAGGATGTTTGTTCTTAAAAACACGGGAATATAATGATGTCACCGTTCAAGGCTTTATGGGTCAATGTACGTAGATAACTTCCACTGATCTTTGGAAGTTATGGCAAAAGCAAAAGTCCAGAGATCAAGAACATCAAACTGTGCCTCCTGACGTTGAGATTTTTTAAATTCAGGTCATAAGTAACTTCCTGTTTCCTCTGCAGGATCACCTGCTGCTGCCCGCCATCAGTCACAACAAAACCAGCAGACCCAAAATGTCTCTGGTGATGCCGGCCATGTCTGTGAACGGTGAGTGTGAACTTCGCCATGAGACGACACTTTGACCACCGTCAACATCCTCATGTCAAAGCTAACTTCTCCCCCTCCTCCCCCTCAGAGAGTCTGTATAACTCCTCTAAGGGTTACGAGATGATGATGCAGGTCGACTGTGAGGTCATGGACACCCGCATCGTCCCCATCAAGGCGTCCGCCGTGCCCCCGTCTCTCCGCGACCCGCCCGCCCCTCCCCCTTCCCACCACCACAACCACCATCACCACGGCAACCACACCTCGCTGCGAGGGCGGCACCAGCATCACCACACCCCCTCCTCCTCTGCGTCTTCATCGCCCTCTCAGAGGCAGCCTCTACCCGCCCGACGACGGACAGCCGAGTACTTTATCAGCCAATCAGAAGGCGTCTGATGATGTCATGACTGAAGAAGAAAATACAGAGTTTAATTTGACGTTTTAACACTTTAAAGTGTTTGAATCTTCATCTTCACTTCAACAGGTAACACACACACAACGCTTCTTTCTTGAAAAGATTCCTGGAAAGCAATAATTTAAAAACCTCGCCTGAAAAAGAATTAAAGTCAGAGGGGAGTTAGTGAACTCCTCGTCCTGATTCAGATATTTTGAGGTTTAAACTCAGTCCTTAGAAGAAAATGTCCTAATATATAAGAATATATTTGTGGAAGAGGAGGTCGATGCAGACACAGCGGCACACTGCACTTAGAACCTGTGCTGCGTTTTAATATTGTTTTTTTAAATAATGTTCAGTTTGAGCGGAGACGAGGAGCTCTCAGGGACGTCTGTGAGGGAACTGAAACGTCCGTCTGTTTCTGACTCAGCTCCTGAATAAACCGTCGCTCCTCATCTCGCCATGTTAGAGCTGACCTGCAGGTGGCGCTACAGCGCTGCACAGAAACCTTTTGATACCAATGCTTTTTAACACCTCGTGTGTGAAATCCTAAATAAGCAATAAACCGCTTCATCGATATCAGACGCCCAAATCTCTCAATGTTTCTGTGCAGCTGCTGCAGAACAAACGGCTGACGTCGGACTCCTGAAGCTCCTCGTGTCTCCGTGGACTCTGTTTTTGTATATTTGTGTTTTTGTGTCGATCAGACTGTAAAGAGTTAAAAAGATAATAACAGGACGTCTGAATATTTGTTCTCAGCGCTGACGGCTGCAGCAGGAAGTCGGATCTGAAGGTTAGCTGCTGGAGGTGTACAAAGGGTTAAAGAAACGATCCTCCTATAAATATTAAAATCATGTCATCGTATCTCCTCTTAAAGAGAGCCTGCATGAGTCTGTGAGAGCTCATAGTGACGTCTGAAACGTCCAGTTTGATCTTCATGAGATGGAAGATAAGAAACGTGATCAGATAATTCATGAAGAGGAGAAACAGGACGGTGTTACTCTGATCGTTAAAGCTCTCTTCTTCTTCAAATTATAACCGACTGAATCTAAACACAAACTTAAAACTTTGTATTTCTCATTTCCTCTGACGTTTATCTTGAATCAAAGTCCATCAACGTGTTTAGAGATCAAAGAAAATATGTGTCGTATAACTTCACAGATGACCTGAGGTTTCTCACACTTTACCAACGTGTCCCAACAGCACATGACGCGAGCAACGCCCTGTCTCTACTTTCCTCTCTGTTGCTCTGGTAGACGGAGGGCGGTCTATGAGGTACAGACACAGAGGAGATAGTGAAGCATTAATAATATCCACATCATGATTGAAATGTTGACCTTTGACCTGTGTCGAAGAAAAACTTTAAACTTTACTCAGCTCACAGCTTTGAGTCAACAGCTCATCAATTCAAAACTACAGTTTGTCCACCTTAAAAATAAAAGCACCACACTTCAGTTTGTCCACCTTAAAAATAAAAGCACCACACTTCAGTTTGTCCACCTTCAAAATAAAAGCACCACACTTCAGTTTGTCCACCTTAAAAATAAAAGCACCACACTTCAGTTTGTCCACCTTCAAAATGAAAGCGTAGGATGTCAAACTGCTAGCATGGGAAACTGAAAGTCACAGGGCAGAGAAGTAAATCTTTAACAGATGCAGTGTGACCAGCGAGTGTGCGACAATGCGTGATGCAAGGCGACATCTAACGCTGGCGTGCTGTGAGGACACAGTGTAAAGTCTTCAACAGAATCTAAACACCAGAGAAGTTTGTTGGTAAATGTAAAGCTTCACTGTAAACTGAACGGGCTAACTGCTGATTCAGGACACTTTAAATCACACCAGGTGACAAAAAGTTAGATGATCCGACTTCCTGCAGCGTCCGTCACATTTCTTACTCATGTTGATGTTTTTGTAGAGAATCATGTGGATTATTTAATATCTGTAAATATCAGTTTCTGTAGATATTCTGTGTTTGTCACTTTTTATACTTTTTTTATTTTTTGTCTTTTGACAACAAAAACTAATAGAAAAAAAAAACCCTGTCCTGCTGTTGATGTTTTCTGTTTTTATTTGTGTTCAGTTCAGAGGACCAATCAGTTATGATCAATATTTATGGAATCTTCCTATTGTACAGTTTGTCATGTTACCACGTTTAACGCTCAGATCGATTATTACTGTCTGATCACGACGTGGAGCCCGTGTGACGTGACAGACTTTGACCACTCGACCTTTTTTATTCTCTTAAATGGATTGTCTCAAACTCTCAATGATTTCAGCTTTGTCTTTTTTTACCGAGGAATGTTTCCGACCTTTGATTCGTACAGAAACTTGTCTTCTTAATTGTCGCTGTGGTTTTTTCTCTCAAGTCAAATCTTTGCATTCAGTAAATCTTCAAATTTGTAACGTCTAAAGGAGGGGTCGAGCGATGATGGTTTTTTTCAGGGCCGGTTTGTATTCACAGTAAACATTAAAATCTTCTTGGATAGCCTGGCGGTTGTATTGCACGCCCCATGTACGGAGCCTTCAGTCCTCGTCGCGGTCGTGGGTTTGAATCTGACCTCGGCCCTTTGCTGCATGTCGCCCCTCCCCCTACTCTCGCCTCCCAACCTTTCCCGTCGCTCTTCAGCTGTCCAATATATTCATCTTTCCGTCCAACACAAGACTTGTTTAAAACGCTCCTCCTGCTACAGGCCGCTCTCGTCTCTGTGCACACAGGCTTCGGTGTTGATTGGCTGTTACTTATGTGACTCAGGGTCTCTCCCTCGGCATCATGGGAAATGAAGGATTTATGTCTTGTGACCTAAACCCCTCGACTTTATGGAAACACAAAGTTTAACGTCGGAAGTTGATCAATTCAAAACATCAAAACATCAAACTTTCAAAGACAAAGATGGACAATCAAAGAACTGTCTCTGAAATCTTTGATGTAGGAAGAGAAGAATCTTTTCTAAAACAAATAAAAGCTTGTTAGTTGTGATGATTATCTAAGTGGGTGAAGAAGTCATCGTGCATAACGTCTCAGTTACCACTCGGTTCTCTTTTTTTACTCAGATTGGAAAACTGTCAGATATTAAATCAGTTCAGAGAGTTTTCAGCTTCTCGTCAGGAAGCCGTTTTCCTCTCAGACTTTATGCTAAGCTAACGACTGCTGGCTTTAACTTTTTATTCTCTGAACAGACATGAGAGTGGAGAACATCCGAAACACTGAACCTCCTCCAGAAACAAATCTCCATGTCCTGTCGAAAGACAAAAATCTGCCTTTGTCTTCAAAAATCTCTCTCTCTGGCTCTCCGTCGTAACTCTCTCTCTCTCTCTCTCTCTCTCTCTCTCTCTCTCTCTCTCTCTCTCTCTTGCTCTGATGTCCGTCGTCTGCTGCTGCGCTCACTCCTCATACATGTCTGCAGGAATCACCTTGTGGTAAACGTCAGGCTGTTTGTTGTTTTTATACTGTTTGATGAATTTGTTACTTTTTTGTTTAAAGAAATGCAGAGAAGAAGAAAAAAAAGATGAGGTGAAATGACGATGTCGGGATAACAGTTCTTATGCAACCCGGTCGTTTGTTCCTGATTGTTTGTTTTGGGCGATGGGGACAATTTTTCTTGTGCGGTCGGTGGTTCTTAAGATGACTAAATATGAATATCCAATTCAGATTGAGTTCTTCTTTTCTAACATGTGTGAGCATGCAGTCTGAGGTGACTGAAGGTACTGATGTAAAAATCACACTTTACCTTTGTCCTTTTTTTGTTATTTAAACGGGGAATCAAATGATTTATGTGTAAATACATCTTTGTAATTCCATCCCCTCTGAGGGCACTTTCCAAATGCTGCCTTCAATGTTTGTAGGAAAAAGAAGCGATGAATTTGATAAAAATGAAATAAACAAATGCTCGGTGCTCCTGTTGTTTTTTTTAGTTAATTCATTGCGCAGCTTTGTATTCTGTGGTCAGCTTTCCAGCACGTGTTCACAACACAAGTTCTACAACATGTAACAACGCTGGGCCGCTGGGGTCTGAGTAGTTGACATACAGGGCAGGGGTGCCAAAGACCTGGCCCTTGAAGCTCGAGGGGTTGGAGGAGCTGGAGGAGCTGGAGAGCTGAACTAGAAGCACTCAGAGCCAAACAAAGCTGAGGGCGGCCTCCAGCTCTCAGGTGAAGCGTCTGATTGAGGAGCCGTAAATGTTTGCAGCCTGAGCGAGCTGACGAGGACTATGCAGTCATAAAACACGCCGTGGCTTCGTGCTGCAGCAGGTTTATGACGCTCCCCGAGGACATGAGTGGGTCGAGGAGAGAGCAGCACCTCCTTCACCTGAGGAATATAAACTGACATCAGTGTTCAGGTAAATTAAGAATTGTTTTAGAGCTCACATGTGAAGGGGAAGATGATCGTCACAAAAAAAAGCTACTTTAAGTGACAGACACCAGCTCAGTACATTCACTCGAGTAATTTAATTATTCTAAAACATTTGTATTAAATCTTTTAACTCATCAACATTTAATTGACATTAAAATGTCCGAAAAGCTTTTAAAATAAGGACACAAAAATACTACACATCAACTTCTTGTTAAAATATAAAAACAGAGACATAAACCCTTTTCACACATACGGAAATCTCCTGAAAAACTCCGGAGATTTCCAGGGGGAGCTGTATGTGTGAACGCAACAGCCTAATTTTTTACTCCGATATTACCCGGAGTTTATCCTGCCAGACCCCTAGTATTTTTTCCGCAGATAATCCGGAGGAGCTGATGTCTGAACGCGGCCGAATATAATCCGGAGATTTCAATTTGAGCCAATGGAAAGAGAATGACGTTTATATACAGTTACCGCCTAAAGTGTCTGCACGTGACCACTACGATCTCCGTGCAGACAATTAAACAGCTGCATTATGTTTTCTGTTCTTCAGTATGTTGTTCTCCTCTCTTTTGTGGATGTTGTCATTCCATTGGATTACACATAGCATTGATATAAAGAGAAATATTCTCATTATAACGTCATGTAGCGGACTCTGTTGCTTTGGCCGCTGCTTCTGCATTGTTTATTTACGTCACATCTTACGTCGGGAAATCCCCCCGCGCCCCCTCCCCTCTGACAGGGAAAGTCCCCCCGCTGTGAGGAGCATATGTCAACGGCTAGTTCAGGAGAATCTCCGGAGAAGTCCTCCTGTAAATATCTAGATATTATCCGGAGTGCATATGTGAAAACGGCTATACACACGTCTTCTTCTGCTTCTTCGTAGCGTCCATGCTGTTTGTTACTGTACAACATTCAGACTTTTTGAACTGAAAACACGTGAAGACAGAAGAAGAACGACTCCCCAACTCGGACATGACACCTGAATGCAGCACAAGTGTACCAAAAATGTCTTAAAAATCAAGATGGCTGACGAGAAGGCACAAATACTATGTGGTTCAGGAGTGTCTGGTAAATCCTGTTCTTCTAGAAGAGCCTGGAGGGTGATCATTTTTGAAACATCAAGAAACAACTAAGGAGAAATGTTATTGTAAAAATGTCCAAATATAGATTTTAGTTTTAGAGAAGATCATGATTGATCAGTTGTCCACTAAGCTGGACATTATGCATAGCTGCAATTATTTCAGTGACAATTAATACAACTTTATTTCAAGTTGAAATGTACAAATAGTACAAGAAGGTACCTCAAAGGCAAAAGATTTAGTTTTTTTTTTTGCTTTCTGTGACTTTAGGGGCTCTGTACCTTAACGATAAACAATAGACAAAAAAAATTGTCAAAAAAAAACATATTAAACAAAAACAAAGAAGCAAGAGGACATCAAAACAGTTTACATTAAGTACTCACAAGCCCCCGGCTGAGCGCTGCTCCACTGGGAATGTCTGGCAAAGGCCCCTGTCCATGGGGTCTTCAGCTCCCACCTCCGGAAGAACTTCTCCCTCATGGACACATGAGTCCGCGTGTTCCATGTTCAAAGCCTCCATTGTAGAAGCTGCGGAACCTTAGAACCCGCTGGTGGACACCAGTGGTGAAGGAAACCGTCAGCCTGAAGAAGGAGGGCTTGGTTAGCTGGAAAGGCCTACATTTTTAAATTCTATATCTTACATTTTTAAATTCTATTTTATATATTGTCATAGTCAAATTCCTTGTATGTGTAAATGTACTTGGCAATAAAACCCGATTCTGATTAATTAATCGTGCTTGTTTTTTTAAATGTATTAACTTGGATTTCATTGATTTAGATGTTCTTTTCTGCATCTGTATAAGAGATGTTATACTTTATTTTATCCAAATACAACTGACCCCCTCCCCCCCTCAGATACCTCTGTGATATGTAAAACATCCTTTTTACAGATACACTGTGATAAAGTGAAAGGATTGTGGACTGAACAGTGAACACAAGTTTAAATCAGCATCTACTTCAACATGCGGCACTCTTACATTTTATTAACAGTTATAACAGTTTTATAATGTCAACCAGACAATCAGACTTCAGTCCTAAGAAACATTTCCTGAGTCCTCAGAGTAGGATTTAAA